TGAGGAATTGACCTCCAGGCCAATTGGCTGTAAGAATCAGCTGTGTCTGCAGTGGGAGAACTTCTGTGCTGAAGTTATGGGGCAAGACTTGCTTCAGTCGGGCTTTGGTGCTCACTGAGTCTGCCCCTTGAGTGTGTCTCTTATGGATGTGCAGAGTTTTAATGCATTATACTCTCACTCTGACCACTGGGTACACTGGCTTTTGGACCTCCAAGGAGGTGCAAGGTCAGCCACTGTGTGGGGCTGCCCAGCAGAAGCTACAGAGACATCTGCAGATTCCTCCTCTTTGTATGGGGTTTGGAAGTGCCCAGACGAGCCCCAGCTGTGAAGCAAGGCTGCTGCTGCTGCCAGGTAGTAGGCCTTCTTTTGGAATCTCTGGGGCTCTCTGACCCAGCTGCAGTTATTTTTTTAGGTGAAAGGACAGGCCATGCATTTGCAAAAGCCAATGTGCACAGCTTCAGTGGGGTTGTAAGTTGGGTGGGGCAGGGTCTCTGGGAATCACCAGAGTGGAGCAAACAGCAATGGCTGCCCTGAACCGGAGAAGTCCCTGGTTCTCTGCGTCCCATGCACCCGTGCAGGAACAATGATCTCTGCCAGCACCTCCCAGAGTAAGCCGCCCTCGCATTCCTGTCCTGCTGCCTTACAGTCCAGTTTCTCCCCGTGTGTGTCTGGATCCCCCAGAGTCTCGCTCGGAACTGGAGTTCAGAGCAAGCAGGAGCTTGTGTCTCCCTCTCTCCTGGTTTAAAGAACAGCACATCCAGTTGCCAGCACTTTCCGCGCTTCCGCACCTCTTACAGGTCTCAATGAGCTTTCTTTACCTCTCTATTTGTGGAACTTCCATTCAGCCAGCTTTCCCATGGTTCTGGGTGGTAGTTGTTCTGCCGTTTAGTTGTAATTTTGATGTGGTTGTGAAAGGCAGCAAGTATAGGTGATTACCAATGCTGCTATCTTGGTTTCTCCACATTGATTGACCCTCAAATTAAATATTCCCACGTTCATGCTTACTTCCCTGGCATGCATTTTTTTCTATCCTCATTGCACTGTGTGTACTTAATATTATTACGTTTTATTATTGTAACTATTTACATGTCTATCTGCTTGGCCAGTAAGTTTTTCTAGCGTATAATAGGCCCTCCTATTTATTTGAAAATATATTTTTTTAATCTTTGTTTTTCAGATTATTACAGTTGTTCCCCCTTTTTCCCCCCATAGCACCCCTCCCCCCATTTCCCACCCCACCCTCTGCCCTTACCCCTCCCCCTCCCACTGTCCTCATCCATAGGTGTACGCTTTGTGTTGACAGGTCAAAGGTCATACACATGGAAAATGTAGCTATTTCCATCCGCAATGTGTCCTTGTGTTCAGAAAGGTCTCTCATGACTTGTTCACGCTCTACTCAGAAGGGGTACGGAGCCACGTAATGGCTTTTTAAAATAATGTATCCTCTTACGTTTAAAATGAGGATTTCGCTACCAAAAGTGAGGAGAAAGCAACACTACAGCTGCTCTCGCCCCTCTCGCCCTTTGGGTGGTATTTGTGCTTGGTGCTGCGAGCTGGTTTGCAGGCCGTCAGTGAAGCCGTCCGGGCAGCCCGTGCGGTTCTGCCGGCTTTCCAGGGGCCGTCGCAGCCTCACTGGGGCCATCGCAGCCTTGCAGGGCCCGTTGGAGCCTCGCAGGGGCCGTCGCAGCCTCACAGAGGTCATCACAGCCTCACACAGCCTCGCAGGGGGTGTCGGAGCCTCTCAGGGGCCGTCGCAGCCTCACGCAGCCTCGCAGGGGCTGTCACAGCCTCATGCAGCCTCGCAGGGGGCGCCGCATCCCTCATTGAGGGTGAAGGTGCGAGACAGAAGCTCCTCTCGCTGTCTCTCCTGCTGCTCCCTTGTGTATCGCCGATGCTGGAAGTTTCTGAGAGCAGTCTACAGGTGCTGGACATCATACTTTACCTGGTCAACACGAAGTTTGGCATTCTGTCTTTTGTTGGGAGTCTCATTGCTGGATAAAATATCCAGGCGTTCTAGCTGGCTTAATATCTGGTATGCTTGCTTGGATTTTGTTTTCTACTAAGTGCACAGGCTGCTTGTCTGCCGTCTCCCGGCGTCCCATGTGAGACTGGATCTGGTGGACCTGCTTGTGCGTTTGCTGGTTCAGCTGACCCTGCTGGGTTCAGCTCCGGCTCCGCTTTCCTCCAAACTTGATTCTGCTTCTTGAGTGTGTCCCTTATGGATGCAAGGAGTTGAAATCTGCAGTTTGTTGGGTTAGGCTGCAAAAGCACACTTGGTTCCTTTTGTGCCACTGTCACAGCTTGGGAGGGGATGTAAATTGAGTAGGGCGGGGCAAACAGCAATGGTTGTCGTCAGCGTCTCCACGACTCCTCGCT